CAGCCCCTCTGCCCCCCGCACAGTGGAGGTTGTGGGGCAGCCTCGCATCGCCGGGCTCCTGCCCGTCTCCCGCGGCCCCGGGCCACCCCGCCTTGTGCGAGGTCCCCCAACTGCAGCCTCTCCCCAGACGCCTCGGTTGTGTCCCTGTGCCCACGTCTTGCACTGGCTGAGTCCAGGGAGCTTCGACCCACCTGGGGTGGGGTGCAGAGGCCAGAGGGTGGGGGAACCCACTGCCCACCCGTCGCCATGGGAACCAGTCCCCCAAGGGTGGGGGTGAAGGGAGGGCGAGTGCCCACCGGCCACGGTGCCCCCCCTCCCACATCAGTGCCCCCGACCGCTGCCAAGTGGCAGGAAGAGGGCAAGACTCCTCGACGTGCGGCGTCCGCGGAGCGTTAGAATGCCCCACCGAGGCCCTGGTGAGGCCCAGGAGCGTCCCCGACCGCTCCCGCAGAAGGGGGACTGGGGGGGGCCGGCCTGGCGGTCGCGCCCCGCCCCCCAGCAGCCGTGCAGCGACGCGGCCCAGGAGCGCTGCGTTGCTCTGGTCTGCGACCAGCCACCTCCCAGTTAAGGTGCCAACAGACCCTGGTTTGGAGCCAGTGCAGAGGTCGGGTGCCCCCACGGGAAGGCCGGCCCCTCGCTCTGCTGGGCAGGCGCTGCCCTCCGGGGCCTCACCCACCGGCCTCTGGCGCCTGCCGCCGCGAGCGCACGCGTTGCGCGCACCCTGTGGTCACGTCCCGCCTGGGGGCGTCCGGAAAGACTGACCCCCCCATGGGGTCGCCGGGAATGAGGACAGGACCTGGCATCTAGACCTGCCTGGGCGGGGAAAGGAGGGGAGAAGAGGGCGGCCCGAGCCTGCGGGGCCCGGGAGCGAGCGCGGCCGCTGACCGCCTCGGGATGGCCGCGCGCACATTGCCCAGCCGCGCGTGGGCGGTCCCTGGGCTGTGCCCCTGTCCCTATTCCCAGAGCCGCCCGGCCTCCTGCCCGTCACCAGAGCCCCCCTCTGGGCGAGGGCGGGACAGCCTGGGTGTCTGCCGGCCGCCAGGCGGCGCCTCCACACCTGGCGGCCCCCCCAGGGAGCGCCCCGCTGCCGCCTTCAGTCCGGGCTAGCCCCGGGAGGGCCCGCGGCGCCAGCCCGGCGGACGATGACCCATGGCGGCCCCGAGTCGCCACGCTCACCCCCAGGCGGACCCCGAGGCAGTGCCGGGGAGGCCGGAGTGAAGTGCGCGGGAGGTGGGGCGGCG